CCTTCAAACCAGAAGATATCGCGTGGATCTCTGCAATTTGCGTTGTAAAAGAGCCGTGACCTCGCGTCACTAAGTCCAATGTGTCGTCATGCAGTGCTGTTATCGCTCTACCAGCGAAATTGGCAGCATAGGCCAGTGATAGCAACGGTAGAAGCACGTGCTGTTGGTTCTGGTAGTCCAACACCTGATACTCCTTGATCATGTCATCACTGCTCGTCACTTTCTTTCCTTGCACACGAGCAGCGCTGAATCGCGTCGTGATCGTCGTCGCTGCTCCTAGAACGAAGCTCAGTTTTAAGATCAAATAAGCTCGTACTTGTGTCATGGTCAAGTACACCAGTTTGGAGTTCTTGGGCTTGATGAACGTGCCATCTTTCCGCACTTTTGCATACTTCATGAGCATGTTTCGTCGTGGGATTCTCACGTTACGGAAGACTGCGTATCCGTTGTCCAGCGACTTGAAACGCACCTTCGGTCCGATATCCCCCAGCTCAATCCCAGGTAGAGGAGAGTGGTCCTCCAATGACCTTAAATGCACAATGAATGCCTGGACACCTTCGTCGTCTCCGTCAATCTGTAGCTTGGCATGTACAATGGCATGCGTCGCGGTCTTGCCTAGACCTCCTGGCCACCATTTTCGACTCGTCAACGTTGGAGAGTTGAGGATGAAAGTCTGCGTCTCCTTGTCGTACACTGCCGTGGTTTCTAAGCCCTGCACATTGGGAACCATGGCCCAATTCCGTTTGCGCATAGGCACCTATAATCTTGTAGCCTCTAGCAAGCGGCAACCACTTGGCTTGTTGCCCATTGTCCGCTTGGTTCTCGAGCGTCGGGATGAACATGGCACGATGCACTTCGAGTGGCAAACGCTCGCCCAATGCCACGTACAATTCCTCCTGGTCGCGTGGGTCGTCGATGCGTTGATCTTGCACTAGCTTGATATAGTGATAAGCCTTCTTCAAGCCTTTAGCGCAGCGTTGCTCGTGGTTCTGGAACATGGAATTCCGCTGGGACAGCACTGGATGACGACGCACCAACTCCACCATCAATTTGCGACGGCGATTGACCTCGCGACCTCCACGCAAAGCGTCAGCCAGCAAGTCCACGTCGATATCGCTGCATTGCCGCTCGCGACGTAGGAGTAGCGGAGCCAGGTCGTGCAGCGGAACGGATGACACAGACGCCATGCTTGTCATTTGGGAGATGAGACGAAACGAATGGCACATTTTGATCCGATTACTCATCATGCTTCGTAGCCATTACACATTTTTTAAATACTGAATGCAAGTTTATTAAAGAAGTGATTACGGTCCAATTTGTGACGACCAGTTTGAAAATAGTCCTGGAGAAACCCCATTGCACGACCATCGCCATGCTGCATCGCACATCGCTCCGGACGGGAGACTCCCTGCATTTACCTGCCAATTGGACTAAGATTGACCAGG